GATTGAAAACAACAACGGCGCCCTCAGCCGCCAGCCCTCTCCACATGCACTCCCCACCTTAGTATTTCACTTCAGCACTGCGCCTCCTCTGAGTCTCGGTATGCTATTCTCTTTCCTCCTAGTTGTAGAACTTCCACTCAGCCAGCCTTCCTGTGGTTCTGGATGATGTCCGTTTCGTCTTTTAGTTGTATTTTTGAAGTGGTTGTTCGAGGCAGCAAACTCCGGCGTTAACCTATGCCGCCATCTTGGTTTTCTCAAGTCTAAGTCCTTTTTAATGGTTACATAGTACTTCTTTGACTGATTAATAGAATTCATTTAACCAGTCTTTGATATACATAAGTATAGTCTACAGTTTGAAGATACCGTCAAGAAAGAAAAAAAATGCTTTGGTGAACATATTTTTATATATTTGCACACTGAATGGTTACGGGTTTAATTACTGGTCCAGGGCATGTACCTTGGTTGCAGGTTCTACAGCACTGGTAGGGGCACACCCATCAATGTGTCTCACCTCAATGTTTCTCTGTCTCTCTCTTTTCCCCTCCTCCCTCCCTTCCACTCTCTCTAGAAATCAATGGGAAAAAAATACCCTCTGGTGAGGATTCAAAATAATTTTACTAAATAAACAAAATAAAAAATATATGTATTGGAGTTCCTTCAATGTTGTTTGCCTGCTGGGAACACAGAAGAATCAGAGTGGCTCCTGCCTTCAGGTTGAGTGGTGAATAGGGCAACCTACCCTTTATTGACTTTATTTGCTGTAACAGTTATAAAGGAGCAAGTTGTCAGTTACATATGAGGGTCATATTGGAGAGAAGAGCCTTAAAATGCCTCATACATGAACCTTGAGTCCAAATTCATGACCAAAAGGCCAAATTTTAAAGAAAAGGTCCTTAATGTGAATTACTATTCTAAAATGGGTGATTCACAGCATTGGCAGATTGTTCAGTTGGTTAGACCATCATCCTCATTACGCCAAGGTTGCGGGTTTGATGCCCGGTCAGGGCACAGACAAAAAGCAACCAAATGAATGCATAAATAAGGGGGACAACATCTAGACGTTTCTCTTTCTCTTTCTCTGCCTTCCTTTCTCTAAAAATCAATAATAATAGAAAAAAGAAATAAAATGGGTGATTCATGTGGCCGTCTTTACATTTCACAACTAGAGTGAAAGATGCTGAAAGGAGAAAAATCATCATTTGACAGATGGTGCTATAAGCTAAGATCAGTCAGCTTTTATTTTGGGAGGGGGTTAATCATATTGATTGCTCAGATGGACCTATTATGTAAAGAGATGTCTGGAGAAGTCTGTTCAGTTCTAATCTGATTATCCTAATAGGGTTAGTTGGCACAGTAGTTGACAATGGTCTAGCTATTAATGAACAAATATTTATTTTTAACTTGAACTTTAAGCTTTGATTAAACAATATGTTTAATTAGAACACTTGAGCCCTAGCTGGTTTGGCTCAGTGGATAGAGTGTCAGCCTGCGGACTGAAGGGTCCTGGGTTCGATTCTGACCAAGGGCACATGCCTGGGTTGCGAGCTCAATCCCCAGTAGGGGGCATGCAGGAGGCAGCTGATCAATGATTCTCTCTCATCATTGATGTTTCTATCTCTCTCTCCCTCTCTAAAATCAATAAAAAAATAAAAAAATATATATTAGAACACTTCAGTCTTGGCTTAGAATTGATGACTTGAGAGCTTTAAAATTACTCATCTCTAATTGTGTTTTTCATAAGTGAACTATATACTCTTAATTCTCTCTCTCTTTGGGGACATAGGGACACACCACTCTGTCCTAGTTGCTCTCCGTTAGACCTTCCCTCTTTATTGTCCTGTAGTTTTTATATCTTTCTATCCTCCTGTAAGCATTAATCTCCTGCTCACATCCTATAATTGCTTCAATGAAGTCCTTTTAGTCTTATGAGGAAGCCTTAGCAATTTCACTTTAAAATTTTTACCATTAACTAAAACAAATCTTTCTTTTTTAGGATTGTAGAAATCTATAGTAGAAGATTACAAGGTAAATTTTAAAACCATTTTTTTTTTACTGAAAAAGTTTTTTCTTATTGTTCTTATAAGTGTAATATGCATGACATAAAATTAAAACCTCATAGGAATATAAAACAGAAAATGTCTGCTGTATACATTCCTTCACATTTTTATGCATATACAAACATTTTAAAATAAATTTATTATATTACATTTCAAAACGGGCTCATATTATACATAATGAGCTTCACTTATCTTTTTTCCCTATTTTTCCCCCCGCTTACATCTTAAACATTTCCCCCCACAGACATGTAAGTATCTCATTTGTTTTGCCCACTGTTCAGCGTTCCTTTGCACGGCTGTGCTGTGGCTTCATTTAATCAATCCCTGTTCTGATAGACATTTGGGAAATTTGTCAGCTTTCAAATGGATGTAATGCTGCAGTGAATGTATGTATTCAAAGATCAGTTGTGTATTCAGCACAGGAACTGTGTTATTGAGGTTAAATCACTGGTTTTCAGCATTGCTCTATGTACAATTCAATAATCACACTGTAACCCCCTTGTTAATCCTGTTGCCGAGCTATTTTTTCATTTGCTCTGCTCTCCTCTATGGAGGTGCTTATTATCAATATTCTGTTGGTCTTGCTGCACACCCGAGAGACAGTTGCTGCTCTACTCCATTCCCTCCAGGGGTGCTGGAGGGCGCCCGGCTTCCTGAGCTCTCTCAGCACCTGTACTGAGGGCCAGGATGGGACAGGGGCCTCCTGTGGCCCAGGCAGCAGACAAAGCCAGCTGGTCAAAGCTGGTGTGTCTCGGCTTTTACCTCTCTCAGAAGTCTGCTTTTTGAGATTTTTATATATCCTAGAGACAGCAAAAACGTTCAGCTGTTTGTGTCAGACACTTAAACTGAGCTCCTTGTCACATCCACAGTTCAAGAGCGCCTTACGAAACAGATTGCCATAGCAATCACAGAAGCCTTGCGACCTGCTGGAGTCGGGGTCGTGGTTGAAGCAACGTAAGTCCGTATTTGCCTTTAATAATGTCATAGTGGTGCATGAAGGGATATTCATTTCCACTGAGCCAAACCGGTTAGGGCAGGGGATATTCATTTCATTTCCTATGTTGCCAATACGGGAACTAGGGTATGGGAGCCTGTTTTGTGTGTGAGTTTGGGGGCGGGGGTTGTGGAAGAGTAGGGAGTCATAAGCTTAGGTGTAGTGATTCGCACAGGCAGTAGCATTGTATATCTTCTCTTGATTTCTTCTTTAGCTCTTTGTTGCTCCAACCAGAGTTTTTCTAATATTTTGGCACATATTTTAAAAAGTAGAGAGAACTAAGAATGGGTACAAAGGACATCAGAAGACACTTGTTTAAGTTAGAATGCATTATGAGAATTGCATGCAGCTTGTGGGCAAAGTTCTCATCCATTCTCCCGGTGTGGCATGGACTCTGCACTGTGCATGCTCTCCAGCTTCGCCAGGTCGCTCACACTCACCGTGGTCACCGTCCTGGATTCTGGTTACTTCACCATTTCTCCTCAGCTAGCATAATGCTGTCTTGGTCATGAAAATGGAACAAGTGAGAACTGTGGATTTCTTCTTATCTCGAACTTGTTGTATCTCCGTAGACCACTTGTATTATTTTCACCTAGGAAGAACATCCCATTCTCCCCTCTCCTGTTGGATGCCTTAAGGATTCAACCACTGAGAAGAATAAAAGATAGAAAACTAAGAAACTTTAACAAACGTGGTTATTGTGAACCCAGTTTAATTAGATTTAATCTTTTGGCCTGCTTTTTATTTTAAAAACCAAACCAGTAACTGTTTATTCTCCCTTGGTTGGCTTGTTTTGTAGACACATGTGTATGGTAATGCGAGGGGTACAGAAAATGAACAGCAAGACTGTGACCAGCACGATGTTGGGTGTGTTCCGGGAAGATCCAAAGACGCGGGAAGAGTTCCTCACCCTCATCAGGAGCTGCTGAACTTTAAGTGTACACCGTGTGCTCTGCAGATCACGCCTCTAGTAGCATTGGTTGTCTGGTCTTAATTGTTGTACAATTCTCTTCTCAATTGTGAAACTCCTTGTCACTAATTGTGTTTAATAATTATTTATTGCAAGTCAAATAAAGTTAATTTTAATATGGGGTGGGCCCGCTGCTTTGTTCCTGCCACTGCTTAGTGGCAACATTCACACACACTGCCAATAGTGTTGTTATCACTGCCATTCGGTAACTGAGGATGCTGGGGAGGAAGAACTCATGTATTCTATCCAAATAGTGTGGTGATTTGGTTCATAAGCGTAGGAGTGTTGGGAATGGGAGAAAACTATGGCCAATATACTGCTTTTTCCATTCCCCCGACAAAAGTGGTGTAATGCTTAAAATAAGTTATTATACAGCTCTACAAATTCAAAGTTCACCAGGCTCCACTCTAATCATGTTTATTAAACCGCCAGTAACACTTATTTTTTTATATATTTATTTTTGACTGTCTAGTTATAATGTTAGTCACCAAGGCAAGGTGGTGGATTATGTTTTTTATTTTACTGTGAATTAAAAAGGAACATTTCTACCTTCCGTTCTTTTTAAAATTCATGTATCAGGAATTAATTCCTGGAGTTGTTTACGAGTGTATTCTCATGTCAACATACAGGGATCTAGACATTTAACTCTCTGTGCCTTGATGAGAATATCACACCATTTGGAGTGTAGATACCTTTGCCTTTATTTAAAAGCCATTATTTTATGAGATTTAGTACTAACACTGCAAATAACTAGTCCTCTACATTCTACATTTTGAAGTTTCTTGGGATCTTACTTTGTGTGTTTCTTGCAGATCCCTCAAAACTTTTTGTTATCTTCTCAATAGTTTTTCTAAGTATTCCAGAAAGTTTTGAGTGTTCATCACTTTCAGGTACATAGCTTCCGTAAACATGATTTGTGGACTGCATCGTGAGCTGCATCCAGTGTCAGTGTGGTGTAGTTTTGGTGTCTGAAAATGCACCACAATCTTCTGGAATCCCTGGAAAATACTGGAAGCCCCATACTGGTTTCCCTTGTGGTCCATGAAGGTCTTGTCTTCAGTGTAACTGTTCAAGTGGGCCAGGTCTTTTAGTCTGGGAAGCTGTTGCCTTATTGATGTTTATCTTAAAGTCTCCTCTACTGGGGCAGTGTTGGGCCAAATTAAAACAATAAAATAACCCAACTTCCCTGCCAAAACACAAACACAATTAATTATTCTTGAAGAAGCCTCTTATTTGGTTGATGTAGTGCTCCTCACATTTATCCCATTACCTTAAGAAGAATTAACCACAGTGATTGCTTTAACTTGGTAGTCCTAGCTCTGCCACTGTGATGCACTTTGTTTGGCTTACAATGAGACAAAATGGAAGAGATTTTAAAAACCCTACTTCTGTTTCCTATATTCTTCTACACTTGGAGTTTCTAAAGTACAGTGGTGGTTGATTTTGAGTTCCTTTTAAAATTGAAGCCAATAAAAACATTATCCTGCTTAATATTTAGTTATTTACAAGTAGAATTAAGTACTCAACTCATGTTTGGTATCTTAAAGTAAAATCAGGTGTAGCTTGGAGGACCAAAGAAATTGTTAGCTATAAATTTATCTTTCTGAGATCCATTGTATTTCTCTGTAAATGACATTCCCTTGAAGTGTTCTCATTAAGGTCTAATGTATCCACAGGCTGTCATCTTATTGGTAAATGCAAAATAATTACCTTGTTTTACTCTGGTCTGTAGTGCTTTAACATTACCTTTTCATATCCACGATTTTGGGGACTTTTAACACTGTTCAATGAAATTGTCTGAATTTTATGTGTGTGTGTGTATTCCTGAAGTTAATTCTATTTAAATTATTAAAGTGTTATAACTTTGCTCTTGTGAAAGTAGTTTCTTTTTGAACGACTGGTATAGCTATAGCAATCAATCAGGTGATTTTCACTGTATTCTGTTTTAGCAAAGGCACCCTCCAGAAGGGCTTCTTGCAGCCACGAAACTATTAGAACGTAAATCCCAGCGACAGCACAAATTAACCGCAGGCGCTCTGTTTTCCTTTGGCATTTGGTATGGGTGTTATTGTCCTCAGCTCCTGTAGTAATGGGAAGGGGAGATCTGGGATGAGAGAGAGGAATCTGAGTAGCCTCTGTGTCCCTGTTGTTTTAAGCTTAGTTTGAGTAACTTCAGCTCCCTGGGAACTGGCGCTCCTTTCCGTGTGGGAGTAGCTGGGGAAGGAAGGATTGGGGCCTGGAGCCAGGCAGTGCAGGGAGTGGAAAAAAGTGTTCCTCCTTCTAGAGAAGAGCCCCTCTTGGGCAAAACTTCCAAGTAGGTGCAAAGATGTTGCTGCCTCTTTCCTGTCTGTGCCTGGTGACTTCATCAGACCCTCTTTCATGGTGGTCTCATCTCCATTCCTGCTCCACCTGGCAGAGGCCCCTGCCCTCACTGGTTGTCAGCATGTCTAGGTGCTGGTGCACTGGAGAGGCTGGTGGCTCCTCAAAGGACCCTATAGACTTGGGTAGCAAGTCTCATCACCCAAATTAGGAATGCTTATGGAGATAAAACATTCCTGAAACCACAGCTCACAGAAGTCAATGAAACAATGAGCTTCTCAACTAAGCCCAAGATGCTGCTCCTGAGTTTTATCCCTAAAGATTGATTAGCTGAGTTCCTTGTTTTGTCACTTAGTGGAAGAGCAGTGCAGACACCAAAGGATTTCAAGAAGGCTGCCTGTCAACCCAGAACAGCTGGATTCATGATGGCCTGGATCCTCCTGCTGAAGGCGAGGAGAGCATCTTAATAGATGAGTTCAGGGGAAGTGTAAATTCCCAACAGCACCACCCTCCCAGAGGCACTTGCTTTGTTTATTTTAGTCTTTATTATGGGAAAATAAAATGTACAATGATAGACCATACGTGAGTACATGAACTTCCATGTACTTATCACCCAGCTGCAATAAGTCTCAACTCCTGGCCATCTTGATTCCTCCATACTTCCCATTCCCAGTGGACTATTTCTTTGTTTCTTTTATCCTCACTAGAGGATATTTTTTCAATTGATTTTTAAAAAAAATTTTTTTAGAGAGAGTGGAGGTGAGATAGGAGAGAGACAGAGACAGAGAGAAACATCAATGTGTGAGAGACACATCAATTGGTTGCCTCCCAAGGTATATGCCCAATGCTCTAACTGCTGAGCCAAACCATCCAGGACCCCACTGGATTATTTCAAAGCAAATTTCAGGCATCATTTAAAAATTTTTTAATTTATTTTTTATTTAAATTTATTTAGCAATTACAGTTGACATAAAGTATATTAGTTTTAGGTGTACAACATAGTGATTACATGTTCATATTCCTTACAAGTGATCACCCCAATAAGCCAGGCATCATTTCATCCATAAATATTTCAGATTATCTAAACAAAAAGAAATCATGTAAAAACCCCACAAACCATTCATTATAAACAAAACCAATGCTTCTATATTAAACATCTAGTCAGCATTCAATTTTTCCCTATTCTTTCATAAGTTTTATTTTTTACAGTTTAAATCAAGGTACAAATGAATTTCATACATTGCAATTGGTTGATCTGGTTTATTTTGTTGTTAATCCTCACCCGAGAATATTTTTCCATTGATTATTAGAGGGGAAAGGAGGGAGAGAGACAGAGAGAAATATTGATGTGAGAGAGACACACTGATTGGTTGCCTTCCGCACGTGCCCTGACCAGGGTCAGGCATGAGCCTGCAATTAAGGTACGTGCCCTTGATCAGAATCGAACCTGTGACCCTTCAGTCCACGGACCGACACTTTATCCACTGAGCAAAACCATCCAGGGCTGTGTGTGTGTGTGTGTGTGTGTGTGTGTGTGTGTGTGTGTGTGTGTGTGTGTTTAAAAGCACATAACATAAAGTTTACCATCTTAAACATTTTTAAGTGTATAGTACAGTAGTAATTATATGCACATTGTTGTGTAACACATTTTTAAAACTTACAAAACTAAAACTCTATACCCATTGAACAACTCCCCTTTGTCCCTTCCAGCCCCTGGTAACCACTAATCTACTTTGTTTCTGAGTTTGACTACTTCAGGTACTTCATATATGTAAAATCATGGATATTTGTCTTTTTGTGACTGGCTTTTTTCATCACCTATTTTATTCTTTTGAACATTATTGCAAATGGAACTGTTTTCTTTTTTTAAAATATATTTTTATTGATTTCAGATAGGAAGGGAGAGGGAGAGATAGAAACATCAACGATGAGAGAAAATCATTAATAGGCTACCTCCTGCATGTCCCCCACTGGGGATTGAGCTCGCAATCAGGCATGTGACCTTGATCGGAATTGAACCTGGGACCCTTCATTCCTCAGGCCGACGCTCTATCCACTGAGCCAAACCGACTGGGGCTGGAACTGTTTTCTTAATTTCTTCCTTGGATCGTTCATTGGTTGATATGTTTTTTAAGTCCTTTGAAGCTATGGAGTCACCTCTCATTCTCCCTTCCCCACCTTTTCCTTGCAATTATTTGGGCATTTGTTTTTGGAGAAGCCCTATGTTTCCCTAAGAAACATCAATTGCCTGAATGTCTGTGGCTGTCTGAAAGAAGTGGAACTTTGGCTAGCAAAGGAAAAAAGTATTACTTTCTGCTGCAACACTTGCACTTGTCCTTAAACTCCTACTCCTGAGGCAGCCGGGGTTGGCCTGGTTCTGCTCAGCCTTTACCTTGAACACAGCTCTTCTTTGTTTTGTGACTCAGAGTCACTCATGCTCACCCTCCCCAAACACATTTTTTGTTGTTTTTTGTAATGGGTGGGTAAGGGTGGGGGAGGCCTGCCCTTTCTGGACAGTCTTTAGTTTTAAAGCATCTGTCACATGACTTCCTTGGCCGCCATGATTTTAGTTAAGGCGGAAGGGTTATTATAGGACTGGAAATAGTGAATCATAAAGACTGGGCATCGCCTTGAGAGCCTGTCCCTGGGGAATTCCAAGGTTTAGGTGGAATGGTAGAAGTGCCTGGGTAGCTGACTTCTTCCATTTCCACGGCCCTCTGAGTAAGATACCAGGCTCTGGCTGACCTGGGGTGGGGAGGGAAGTGACTCACCAGGTACTGTATTAAAGCTGCTTCTTTCACCCTCTCCCTAATGATGTAGTTGTGACTCGCTTACAAGTCCTGCTGGGAGAACTAGCACATGCATTGCACAGCCCTAACACATTCATCCGAATTCCCACTTATTTCTGCATTCTCCTGTTTGTTTTGAGCAGATCCTTTAACTTGTGGAACTGGCTGTGTTGCTCAGGCAGACATGGTTTGACTGTTGGTCAGTGTTGAGAAAGCTGTGTTGAGGGAGACCTGTGATGAAATACCCGGGCATGTGTGAAAACACCCTCCAAGGCTGTCCCATTGATGCCTTGTTGATTTTCTCCTGATCTTAGGATGAGTTTCTTCTTTTCTCTCCTTTTTCTGGATCTTTTCCTGTTTGAAAATGTGCTGAACGAATAGACAAATCAGATATTTTTCTGTCTAATTCAGCGGTTCTCAACCTGTGGGTCGCGACCCCTTTGGCGGTCGAACGACCCTTTCACAGGGGTCGCCTAAGACCATCCTGCCTATCAGATATTTACATTACGATTCATAACAGTAGCAACATTACAGTTATGAAGTAGCAACGAAATCCTCTAGGTCAGCGGTTCTCAACCTGTGGGTCGCGACCCCTTTGGCGGTCGAACGACCCTTTGACAGGGGTCGCCTAAGACCATCCTGCATATCAGATATTTACATTACGATTCATAACGGTAGCAACATTACAGTTATGAAGTAGCAATGAAAATAATTTTATGGTTGGGTCACAACATGAGGAACTGTATTTAAAGGGCCAGAAGGTTGAGAACCACTGGTCTAATTTGTCTTTTTGTGGGGTTTCCCATTATGTGTGTGATGATGCTAGTTTTTGCATCATGTTCTACCTTGACTGACAAATTTTGTTATAGAGATTTTTCTCCTGGCAGAGCCATTTCATGTCTAAAACCAAGGGATAAACAGAATAGGAAGCAGAAAAGCTAGTACATAAAAATCAGTTTAAAATGACGAACAGGGACCACAGAATTCGTTCAGATTGGTCATTTGAAAGGTACTTTTAACCAAGGACAGCTAATCCCAGAGCAAAATTTCTCACTTCTCATTTGTGGCTGTTTCTGAAAGGTGAGCAAGGAACATGTGAATTTGAAGCCTCTATCAAATCTTGTCTGACCTTCTCTTACTCAGCAGTTATCAACATCACCTCATAATGGAAGGGTCGGAGTAAAGTGGCTACTTATATCAATGCTTGAATGCGTTGTTAACAGAATTTCCACATAAATTTAAAAATAATTATAAAATAAAAAGTGTCATGTGCACTTGAAGTATAGATAGGTCAACAATGAGTTCTCATGGCCTTTTTAACTGGAACACCGTAAAGAAAATTAAAATCAAGGTGAAACCTTGAGTCCTGAAAATGGAACCTTTATGTTTCTTTAATTTTAGTGTTTTAGGGGGTGGAAGAGAAATCTTTTTTTTTTTTTTTTGGATAATTCTCACTTGAGGATATGCTTCCATTGATTTTTTTAAAGAGAGAGTGGAAGGGAGAGGGAGAGACAGAAAGAGAAAGTTACATCGATTGGTTGTGGGGATTGAGCCTGCAACCAGGGTACATGTCCTTGATGGTAATCCAACCTAGGACCCTTCAATCCTCAGGCTGATGCTCTATCCACTGAGCCAAACTGGCTAGGGCAGAAATCTTCCAGATTTAATGTTGTGTGTGTGTGTGTGTGTGAGAGTACTCAAAGTTAAATCTGAAAAGTTGTTATAAGGTGCTACTTTTTTTAAATTAAACTTTGATTCA